TCAGTATATCATTTATTTTTTAAGGCATACAATGACTTACGCATCACATTTATGTCATTATCTCGGTAGGACTTATAAGCTTGCACACTTGGCTTTTCAACTGGAACAAATAACTCAGCACTTCAACTGAAAAAAGAACTCTTCTAGTTGTTCCATAATATTTTCCTCGTATGAAATAATATGCACTATTATTATAATAATATAAATAATTTTTGGTTATATCCTAAAGCTCTTAGGACTTGGAACCCCCCACATTTATAAGTATTTCTGTTAAGATGAGTGACTCGTAACAAATTTCATCTATGGATAATATCTCCCCACAACTTTTGGATAATCCTGAAATTTTATCTCTAACGTATTTATTATGATTTTTCAACTATGAAAGTACCATATATTAAATACTTCACCTCATCTACCTTTTCAAGGTTCCATATTCGCTTCTCAACAAGTATATATAACAGTCTCTAGTGCATATGTACTCGCTTTATCTCTAGCATATTCTTATAATAATTCACCGACATTACCGTGAATTAATGCTAAAGATATTAATTACAATGGGCTCTAATTAATATTTGTTTTTACATCTTTTATATTTATAAATTGAGTTATTCATGTTTAGGTTCATGTTAAGTCAGTCATATTAATATATTATAACCTTTCATGTGTCACACATCACATAACTCAATCATTTAAGCAAATAATTATCTTATTATTTAAGTTTTGGATACAATCACCACAGAGTGAGCACTCACTTCTCAGCTATCATTACTAATTAAAAGTGAGTTCTTAACTATCATTACTAGCTTAGATTAAGTACAAGCTTCTCATATCTCACTACTAGGTTATGACGAACACCCACTTTTCAACTATTACCGCTAGCTTGAAGTTAAGTTTGTTTACCTATCAATTCTAGTAGTTCATAACTTTAGTACACACTTATCTAAGTAATCTACCTTGGTAGTAGAGTAATTTGTTTTGAAGAATATTCTTCAGAAATTACTACTTTACAAGTAGTATTATTCCCTCCAACATTAGCAGATATGATGAATAGCTCAAATAGCTTATGGCTAAAATAGCTACTCATCACCCTCGTATTTTTTACTACCAAGTTGAGAGCTAGAACCAACTAACAGATTTTCCATCTTCCTCTTAGGTTCTGTGCACCTCATTAATCATTTTAGCTTATAGTTAAGCTACCTTGTTTGCAACTCAGTAACATTTTAGCTTTTAGCTAAATTGTACATTAGAGCTAACTAGTTTGATTTAGCTTGTCTCAGTGTACTAGCTTAGTGTATCCATAACATTTTCCATTAAACTCCTTAGAGTTATCGGAAAATCTTTTCTTATTTAGCCCATTCACAGCTATATGTGTCTTAGACACTAGTATAGATCTTTCTCCCTTGACTATTGGAAGAATTGACATACTTAGACTAATCAATTTTTGTCTGTTATATTAAATACACAAACCAGTCATGAACTCATACAAAATTAATAATATCACACATTAAATAATCTATATTGTAAAATTAAATTACTACGTACACTAAGTAATTCAACTACATATCTCAATATTATAATCTCAAATAATAAACTTTTGTAAAAATAATATTGAACTTGCATAACAATATAGTTTCATATTATATCACATGATTAATTATATCACATAATTAATTTAAGAAAAAAGATTCGTGGCTTATTCTCCAATAAACATATTAGAAAATTAGGACCAAAAGATGTAGACGTTCTAGCCTACAAGAAAATGATATGCACTGATGTTATAACCTATTAAAGGTTTTATGTAACGACCAACTCCATCACATAGTATGATATTGTCCACTTTGGGATCAAGCCCGCACGATTTTGTTATTGAGTTTTATCTCAAAAGGCCTCGTACCAATTGAAGATAACACCACTACATAAAATCACTTTACCTTTCCCTTACGTAGGTGGTGTAGGACTGTGCACCTGTAACTTACTCAATGTAATAACATGTCAGTGCCTCTTGCACCCACCCACGGCACACCCACCCATAAGGTTGCCACATTATAGATCTCACTTTAACTTTCTTAGGAGAAAGTACAACCTTAGTTAGGCACCCCCCCATTTTTAAGAATTTATAAGAAGGTTTTTTACTTTTCCATAATTCATATAGTGTCACATTAGTTTAAGGTATTTTATTGAGAACATAATTTGTTGAAAGCAAAACTTCTCTCTAAAATTCGGAGTTAAACCAGAATTTATCAATATAGCATTCATCATATCTTCATGAATGATATCATGTTCTGAACAAATATTATCACAAGTGTTTTGATCTTTTTCCTAAGTTGATTCTCAACTTCATTTTTGTAATATTTAAAACATTTCTAAGGTTTTATATTTGCTTTATAGCAAATATATATAACAGTAGCTTGTGCAATCGTTGATAAAACAAATGAAGTACCCTTTTCGACCACTTGTTGATATAAATTTAAGATAATATAATATAATATATCATATTACAAAATTAAAATAATTCAACTAATATTGAATTATATACATAATTCAATATTCTACTTATATAACATGCTTCAATTTCATATAATATTGAACATATCAATATTTAGCATATTATCGTATAATAATGTATATAACATTATTTTATTATATCTCATTTATTAGTATGATCTCTACTTGTTTATATCTTAAATAGAAACATATAATAAAATATACTCAAGGAACGAGTCTGTCTTAAGATTGATGGTAAAATATATGCTTCATGTGACATTTAAGATATAACAAACCTTATATTACTATGTCATGAGATAATTAACAATATGCTAAGAAATCATTAATTAAATATGCAACTCTATATTAATTTAATATGCAAAATAAATTAATGAAATAATAATTATAAATAAAGAACCTGAACCGAGACTAGTATTGGATACTATATCCTTAAGACAGATTCGCCCCGCTATGGTACTAACGGATTCAGTGGCGTCTATCTCCCAGGATACAACGGTTTACATCCACCAGTAGCAGCACTACAAGCTCGTGGATACGGCGAATCTTCTCCGTGTAATACTCTCTCTGACTCAAAAATGCATCTATACTATATAAATGCTGAATTAGGTGCAATTCGAATCAAATGGTTCGAAACAATCTTAATATGGCTCGATGAAATTGGATTAGGGTCTAAGTGGTTCGGACCACTTAACCTATGGTTTGAACCCACTTGGGTTGGGTTCAAGTTTAGAGAGGGAGATAGAAGAAAATGAAAATGAACAACTTGCAAATGATCCAAAGGGGGGTATTTATAAAAACAGAAATGCCTTTTCGGATTGGGTGTATTTCTTCATTATTGGACACAACCATTGCAATAGGTTGCAATGGTTCACATGGTGTCTGTTCACCACTAGACACGTCTATTCCAATAGGTTGCAATGGTTCACATGGTGTCTGTTCACCAATAGACACATCCATTTCAATAGGTTGCAATGTGCCTTTTCGAGTGGGTGCAACCATGGGTTATGATGGTTCGGAAAAAGGTCTAACCCTTTGAAAAAACTAAAAAGTGATTTTTTAAAATTAAAAGGTGTAACCCTTTAGAAAAACTAAAATATGGTTTTTTAATTTAAAAGGTGTAACCTTTTAGAAAAACTAAAAAGTAATTTTTTTTAATTCAAAAAACCAACCACCCAAAAAATCACCCATTTGTGAAATCCATTTAAATAAGCCCAGCCTAAAATTAGGTCCAATCCAAAATTCCAAAAAAGAATAATATGGACTTTACAATTAGACCCAAGCCCAAGCCCAAATCCTAAACTCAGCTTATTTAAATTTCAATTTGTTTCAACATTTTTTTTTTTTTTTTATTTTTATTTTTTTCATGTGGGACAAACACTTCTCACATTTTACATACCTATTTAAGCTTATCAAAATACCACACTTTGGAGCTAATTTCTCATTCATCCGGAAACGGATTTGAGAAGGTAAATATACCATGTTCATCTCCTTACGGAGATAAACGCGCTCGTCTAGAGATCTGCAAAAAATTATTAGTAGAATCTATTCCAAATCTCATCAAAAGTTTATATTTTTAATACCCCCATTTCCAACACACAGGACGAAAGGGAGAGAGGAGTATTTAATAATACATCCATTATCAATACAATATAAAAATAATTGGATTAATTTAACTGATATTTTTTTAAATTTGTCCAAATATTATATTAAAATAATTTTTAAAAATTACTATCATTTAGATCTAATTTTATTTTTTGATCATTAATGCCATTAAAAACTTGTGAAAAGTTATTTTTACTCTCATTTTTAAATTTTAATTTAATTCAAAATATCAACAAAATTAAAAGACATAATTGCCCCCATATATATATTTGGAGAGGAGATATATATATATATATATATATATATATATTTAGAGAGAGTTTGTAAATTAATTGTTCAAAGTTAAAATTCATCACCATCGCCACACCTCAATCCCACTCACAGGCTAAAAGGTGGAAGTGGTGCTTCGCCGGAAAAGAGATGTTCGCCGGTGAGTGGTGATTGAGGTGTGGTGGTGGTGATGGATTTAAACTTTGAACAATTGATTTACAAACTCTCTCAACAATAGCAAAGTTGAAGTCTTTAAGAAAGAGAGACCCATATATGTGTATACATATATATCTCCTCTCTCAAATATATATGTTGCACTCATCATCTGTAAGGTAATTATGCACTTAGTGGAGATTAAATTTGGGAATTAATTGCTCAAGTTATTTAGGGCACAGACAACCCCGCTGTAACTGTGCACTTGGTGGAGATAAAATTTGATTCCAGCCCTTGGCTTATGAAGCCAAGCTCACTTCACAGGCCTGACCTCTCTTAGAGCATCTCCAATCCAATGTCATTTGGACTGCTATTTTTAAAATATAGTAGGTGGGCTTCAAAATGGACTCTCCAATGCAATGTCAATTGGGCTGTCAATTTTTGCCTTTCCAATTCTTACGCTAATTGTGGCAGAAGAAATAGCTATTGCTATTTCTCTTGGGCTAGACAAATTGAAGGGGCCGGCTCCTCTTTTGCTAGGGCGACAGAGAGAGAGAAGAGAACGGCGGCTAGGGGCGACCAACAAACCAGAAACTACGGTGCCATCTCCCACCTCTCCGGCCTACTCTGCTGTTTGTAGTCCACCTCTCTCTCTATACTGTACTGCTTTGCAATGTGGGCCTTGCTTTTCCCATCCATTCTCATGGCTGATCTGATCGGTATCTTGTTGGGGACTCTCTGAAGTCTGTGAATGAGAAATCTTTAGGTAAGAAATAAATTAAACAAAATCCCAATTTTTTATTCTATTCTTTTGCTTTCCTATGAGGCCATTATGTTTTGTTGGATCTCCATAATTGAGTCAACTTTAATCTTTAATTTCCCATTAAATATTGCTCAAATGTATCTATTTTATTGTGTTTTCATGTATATCACGCTCACAAACACAAACCCTTTTCATCTTTTACACTTTCCACAAAAGGGTAATTGTAGTTGAAAAGTTTGAAACATTTTTTTGGAGTTATACAAGAATTATATGCAACTCTGGTGTTCATCTCTTTGTAGATGTACTCTTCTTTTTGTGTTGATGATTGGGGAATAATGATCTTTGAAGTTTCTTGAAGTACCAGAAAGTGACATTTTACATTGTGTAGATGATTGATGAAAAAGGGTAAAAAAATGATGGAAAACACAACACATGCCATGTCTTCACTGGCTGCATTATTTTATTCCTCTTTTTGTCTTCATTCTGATATGCTTCTTATTGGTCTCCTAGTGTGGTTGAGTGGATTGATACAATGCACATGCTTGTTACAGGCCATGGTGTGATGATCACTGTGTGTATTTTTATGTTAGCTCTGTGATAATTCAACCTTCATGCTGTGAGAGTTAATGGGTGAATCATTAGTAGAACCATCGAATGTTAAAGATAACTTTAATCTTTTTGTCCTTTGATCAGTTAAATGTTATCCATGTGTTTAATTTGTTTCATCTAATTGTGTTTTGAAATTGTCTCCCTTTTTTGTTTTTTTATTTATTTATAGTTCCATCTCATAATTGCAAAGTTCCTATACTGTTTGTTGTTATTTCATTCTGTTTCTTGCTTGAAAATTTGCCTGGAAATTGGATTTTGTGTTATATAAACAGATGGGTGAGTCGGTTGCCTCTTATATGTTGTTAATCAAATTGCATATAGGAATAGTTTTTAATTTTTTTATTCAACTACAATTTGCCAAAGCTGTTGTGACTAGTGAGAGGCACTCTCCACAGATTAAAAATAAATAAATAAATTTACTATTAAATTACTTTTAGGTATTATTATTTCTGAAATTCCTGACTTATGACATCTTTTGATGATTTTGCATAGGACATATGGATGTGAGTGGATTCTGATGTTGAAAAATTGATCAAGAATCAGAAAGCGGTGGCCTTTTGTGCAGCTCGAGCCAAAGCAATGAACTAACGGATTTGAGTGGGATCTGATTTTGGAAAATAGTGGCCTCCAGTTGTTGGAGTTGCCATTTAGCTCTACGATCAGGTATGCAATTTTTCTAGCAGCGTTCTAAAACATATGTAGACAATACTAGAATCATTTTTTTGTGAATATATACTGGCACTATAAAAAGGGCAATATAATAATTGTCTCAGCATTTTTTTTTCCTTGGGTAAATGTCTCAGTATTTTCTCCTGTTACCATATAAAAACTTCTCTCCAAAAGCATAAAATATCAATTTGTATTATTAAGAAATCTCAATTGAATTTGTACGTACTTGTATAATACAAATTAGTTGAATCTATTTCAGAATAATTTAGGAGTAAACTAACTCAAACCAATAAATCCAGTACTGGAGATGAGGATGTCATTTACCTAGTCTTCTCTTTCTGTCCCACCTTCAACTCCCTGCCAACAAAAAGAAGAAAAAGAAAAAGAAAAAGAAAATAATTCAACTCCCTTGTACGTACAGGATTGCTATTCTCGATTGCCAATTTGTTCTGTTTAACCATATTGTCAAAGAGATTAATCTTTTACATAATGCTTAGCTCATGAAATTGGCCTCCAAATTTACTGACTACCCATGACATTGACTGCTTTGATTTGGCATATGCTTAGTTCAATGGAAGTCTCTCAATCATCAACAAAGCGGGGAAAGGCATTCACGCCAGATCAAGATATAGCAATTTGCAATGCTTGGTTGAGCATCACCCAAGATCCTATTGTTGGTAACTCGCAATCACAAAGTAAGTTTTGGAATCGGGTATTCTAAAATTATCTTGATCATAGCAACGACAAAAATGGTAGAACACAAGTTTCTATCCAATCTCGTTGGGGCATAATCATGAAGTGTTGCAGTAAATATAGTGGGTGCCTTAAACAAATTGAAAATAGGCAACAAAGTGGAATCAATGAAACAGATAAGGTGAGAATTCTATTTTTCTTGTTAGTTGTAATTTTAATTTTTATACATCTAATTTTGTTTCATATCATTTTTTAGGTTCTTCAAACAAAAAGTTTGTATTATGAAAATGAGAAGAAACACTTTTCTTTGGATCATTGTTGGGCGATTTTGGAACATGCCATTAAGTGGGAAGATCGGGGATCCTCCAAAAAGCCAAAGTCTCCCCCAATGACCCCATATTCCTTTTCCCCATTTTCCTCTCCGCATCCCAAATTCCTGAGACGCCCATCTCTCTTGATTCCGATCAAGATCGAACCGAAAAATCTGTTGACTCCCCAACAACCAAAAGGCCTAGTGGAAGGAAAGTTGCAAAAGAAGCACGTAAAAAAAACAAGATAGCAGATACTTCAGACAGTCGTTTTTGTGATTTGATGGAAAAATTTAATGAAACTACAACTGACAGATATATGAAGAAGTGTGAAATAGAAGAAAGAAAAGTTAAAGTAATGGAGCAAATGAATCAAAGGGAGTAAGAAGAGAAAGAAGCCAAGATTATGATGATGGACCTTTTCAGCATGGACCCTCAGGCGAAAGTTTATTACCAGCTGCTCAATAATGAGATTCTTGCTAAACTATAAGCACGCTCAACAAACTTTGATTATTATGTTCCTTTTCCCCATGTCCACCATGAAGGACAAGTGAAGTTTAGCACTTTCTAGGAATATGCTATGTTGGTTTGTTCCTTATATAAAGTTTAGCACTTTCTAGAAATATGCTATTTTGGTTTGTCCCCTGTATGAAGTTTAGGACTATTTTGCAATATGTTATTTTGGTTTGTTCCTTGTATAAAATAGTATGCGTGTGAAAGTAAAGGCAATGGACTGTGTTGTTGAAACTTTTTTTTGTTGTGCTTCATGAAAGTATCTATTTTCGTAATTTGGTTTGTTCTAGCAATATGTTTTTTTTTTTTTTTGAAACAGAATCTCCATTGCAATAAACAAGCCAAATATTTTAATTTTTTGTAATAAGGCAAACAAGCCAAATAAATTTATTTATTTTTAATAAGGCAAACACGCTAAATATTTTTATTTATTTTTAATAAGACAAACAAGCGAAATAAAACACAAACACTTAAAAAAAAAAAAAAAAAAAAAAAAAAAAAAAAAAAAAAAAAAAACCTTACTTGTACACTATCTAGTGTACAAAACACACATACTAATAAATCAAGGATCCAAACAAAAGACATCTGAAACACACTTCTTCAAATTTGTCCTTGTCGTGACCAAAAATGTTTAATTCTCGAAAAAAAAAATTAAAAATACATGTATCATTTTTTTTTCTCTCTCTTTTTTTCTTTTTCTTTTTTTCGTTTTTGGTCCTTTTTTGACTAGATATTTTAGATTTTTGATTCTTTTTAATTAAGTTTTTGGTTGAAGATGATGTTACACGGCGTTCAGAACCAGCCTTGAAGTGAATGAATTAGAAAGAACGAAGAAGTAAGGAAATGAGACGACTCTTTCTTGAACTATATCATAAACAGATCTCCCCCTCCACACCAATCACGAGTTTTTCTCTATTCCTCTCGTATATCGTCGTAACGCCCTTAATGCTAGGTTTTGAAAAACATTTTTCATGTCATTCCCATTTAGGTTCGATTCGGATCCCTCCGTTGTTTCCTTTTCCTTTCGCACCTTTTCCTCAAAATGAGAAAGAAGATGGTACACTTGAATTGTATTATTTAATTTCTTATTGCTTGCAAAAGATCCTATTTCTACAATTGGTAGGTCACCGGGTTATTCAAATCAGTCGTGTTTTCTGTGGTTTTCCCATGTTACAACTTCCGTACCAATTCGGTCGATTCGAAATGGATCGGTTAAACATTCCATTAGGGAGCCTGGTCTTGACTCTTCTGTGTGGTATTCATTCTCGTTCGGCTTTTGGAATCACATCCAGCAGTGGTTGGAACAGCTCGCAAAATCCAACCACTTCACCTACTTCATTGCCCCCAACCATTTCTCGTACCTCTATTGAAACAGAATGGTTTCATGTTCTTTCATCGATTGGTTATTCCTCTCTGTTCGTATCTCTTTTTCCAATTTTGGTCTCGATTAGTTCACAAGATTGAATGGCCAATTATCCTCCGGACCCTCGATTCGATTGTTTTCCAAGAATATTGAGCCGGGTATTTAAGCCATGTATCTGGGAGGAACTGCAAAGGAGGGCTTGAGGCTTTTTTCCCTATATTTTGTCTTGCAGCTATTTCAATAAGAATATATCAATCAAATTGTCTTTCTATTTCCATTTTCTTATCTAATGAAAAAATCAACAAAAGAGATTCAGATTTTGATTTAGAATCTTGATTCTATATATGTCCAATCCCTAGTGGTGGTGGGACCAACCAAGATGTATGTCGTCCTACCCGACCTCAGACTCTTTCTTCCCGACCTATTTGATTCTCTGGCAGCAGTTATTTAGGCGGTATCCCGAGATTGAAGAGATCTAATTCCTCTCCGGAACACATGAAAGAAATATATGAACTGGGTAAATAGAAATGGAAAAGAGATGTTGTAAATTCATCCAAATGTGAAGCTTTTTCTACATCCATGTGATCTACTAAAGTAGATCGGTATTGTCCATATAATGAAAGTAGATCTTGTTCCATGGAATCCCAAGAAGGTAAGAACGTCAACATGTCCGATGCTTCTTCGGCCAAATACGATATACAAGTGGGACCTGAACTATGAGTAAGCTGCGCGAAAAACCTGTTCTTTTTTCCGATTCCGCAACAACTTGGACGAAATAGGGTTCTACCGGGAAACCATGGATTTTTGAGTTTTCGCCATTGGTTACTGGTCGAGCCACTTGGAATGAAATCAGAATCTCTGGAGATCTTTCCTCTCCACTTACTCGTAACAGGCTTTCCCTCTGTAGAAGACTTCTTCCGAATGGCATAATTTTCCAATTTCTTCCTTGATCTTCAAGGAAAACTGACTCATACTACTCCTCCTTCTCCTTTAGGATAGGATCGTCGTTGGTCATTCTTTCACTAACGATCTAATGATCTCGGCATTTTCTAGTAGTTCACGCGAGGTACTATCCTTTCTATCGCTTGCGCTTGCTTTTCACAACGGTCTCTCTCTTCTATAAAGCAAAACGCATGGCGCTGAAGTGAAGAAAGCTCAATAAACACATACGAACACGATGCAGGGCATAGCATAAATGAGACCGATGATCATTTCATAAAACATATGCTTGACCTTTCTCGATGCTTTTTTTGGGTGACTCACCAACCGATCCAACAGCGATCGATGACAGAATGATAGAAGCCTTATAGTTCTTCACGCTCCTGAGCTCTCCTGGTCGATAGTTTCTCGACCGACTTATCAGACTAAACGTCAAAAACACAACTCTTCTTACTTGAAGATATTTCTCTTTTCCTTTCCTTTATGCATTTCTTCGAATCCCTCTTCATCATAGAGCTCTTTGGACTTTAAAACAATCAAGAAAGAAATAAGGGAGTCCAAGAATCTCTTCTCAAATGCAAAGTGTGGCTAAGCCCATGAAGAGTCTCCTCAGGCTCTCGAATACCCCTTCGAGTAGCACTGTGTTACTAGCTGCTCCTCTATCGAAGTAGGTCGGACCCGAATAACGAAAGAAAGATATTCCATTTCCTAGATATAAGATTGAGAATCAATAGCAAAATATCATATTTCAAACTAGAGGCGAGTTTGCGCGGCAGGCTTGGCCCTCTTCTAGAAATGCTGACTCTGCTAGGACTCTCCGTATTCCAAGTATTGACTTTCTTAGGTGACTTCTTGCTTGTCTTGTATTGGCGCCATCAAGCGGTTAGAAGAATATCATCATAGATTGAACAATAAATAGAAGAAATCAGTATATTTTAGACAAAGTGATTTTGATTGATCAGAGCAAGCCATTCATTCTTTACCCGCATTTGACACTCTATTGTAGAATGTGATTTCTCTTATGAATTTCAGACTTTAAAAGACAGAACCAGCGTTTGGATTTCTGTAAGTAAAGCACCGGGGAATTACCATGGACGAGTCTCTTCTCGTACTTTTCAGAATCGGGGAATGGCGGGAGAAATCCCGAAGAGTAGAAGAACAAGAATTATGGAATATAAAGTAGAGTCGGTTCCTAGATCCTTCTTATCTAAGTCAAGTCTTCGGGTGCTACAATGTTAATAACTATGTATTCACTTTGCTTTTGCCTAATATATGAAGTTCTATCCGCCTAGCTCTCACAGATGCCATTCTTGTGCTTCCAGTGTCGTTCGGTTTTGAAAAGGCGGATAAGTCTATTTTCGAGCAGAGAATCCAGGCAATTCTTACTATTACTACTATGTATGCATTCCATCATTTTCTCCAAAATAATTGCGAGCAAAGGTGCAAGTAAGCAGCAAGTCAACCAATAGAAAATGGGGGGTTTTTCCCGCGAAAGGATAATCAGAATTAGCAACGTTGAGCGACGTTCTGACTTAGGCCTCAAAAGGAATAGTAAAGAACCTATCCCATTTTTGCCGGGCAAGTCTCGTACAACAAAGAAAGAATCGTGTCCAGAAAAAAAAAAGGATCCAATCAAGCAGACCCATCTCAAGCAGGTAGGTAAGAAAAGTTCTGACCGGAATCTCCAACTAGCTACAGTAATTTCTCTTTCAAATTAAAAGAAGCAAGTCGTGCCTATTATGTAATACCCCCTTGGGATGAGGAAACTCTAGGGCCTTGCTTGTCTTTCTTCTATTGGGGTTTCTTTTCCTTATCGGGATGAACCTGTAACAAACAGATAAAGCTCCAAACAACAGGAAGGCTCTCATAATAAGTACTCTGAATCATTCGTGACAGCTTTCCTTTCCCTATGGTTGTTACCTTGTTACAACTTCCGTACCACACACAATACCCCAATTCGACCAGAGAGCAAAGGTGGTCATAGATCCGAAAGAAAGTGTTTTTCTATGTCAGATTCTTGCGTTGGATCTGGAGAACACCTACATGTGCCTACGGATGCTCAGTATTTCGATTCAGAGAATCATTCGATGGGAAAAGCCTCCAGCCCCTGTATCTCTTTTTTTGTTGGAGTTGCTTATTGACATCAACCCTATAAACTGGGCTATAGGCTTTCAGCCTTGGCTTCTGATGAACGGGCAAGAACCCATGGCGAATTCTGTCTCAGCCTAACGACCACTCCATCATCTTTGCCATCATCACTATCACAAACTGCTGAGTCAGCTTACCGCTTCCGACCATTTGATCCTCTGGTAACAATTCTTGGCATCTCGGCCTTCATTGGCCTCTCAGATGGGATGGGACGACGGTGAGCGTGCCAGGAAGCTTATATCCCTAGACAAGATTAAGTAAGACTAGGTGCTTACATTGGGTTTTGATCGAGCGTGTCAAGCCCCCTTTACTTGCTTCTCTAAAGCGTGTGATGGCCTTACGTTTCCAATTTCTAATTAGTATAGTAGGGCAAAATAAAAAATGAGCAGTCTCAATTCATTTCACTAGACCCACCAAGGTCTCATCTCAAATCCAATAACGAAGCTTGGCAAGGCTTTCCTTTCAAAAAACAAGAGTAATAAGATTGAACGATGTGGTGCTCAACGGTTGACTGCATAATACCCGAACGGGTATCACATGTTCGGGCATGCACAGGCGACCGGGGGATCAAGTGGTGATTCAAGGTGCGGGCTGAAATGATGGAATAAGAAATGCTTAGACAAGGCTACCTTCCTTCGCTTGTCTAGCCCTCGTACTAGTAAAGGCGCTAGAATCTTGAGTTTGGAGATCATTTCACCGCACAGGATGATAATACTATTCTCCCATTGATTCTATAACCGGGCAAAACAGTCTTCCGAGCGTACTAGCAAATTTCTCACTTCTTGTTGGGGAAGGTATCAGTGTTGGTCAATGTTCTGCCACGCTTGCGGATCTGCTTCCTGTTGCAGGTGGAACCAAAACCCCTTCTTTTTAGAGATTTTCACTCTCATTCCTTTGTTTTAACTTTCCAGCACACGTCTTCATAGCCATCAGCGCCCCCGGAGACAAGGCAAGTCAGAATGAGAAGTCTTGCCTCCTGACGAGCCAGTGTCTAGCTAGTATGAGCCGAGCGTTCAGGCCTAGGAAGAACCGTAAAAAATAGACTCTATACCTAGAAACACCAACTCTGATCTGAGTTGGGAAGGGGAGCCGAGAATGGATAGGAGGCTTTGCGGTCGAGCATCCTCTAGTTGATGCGTTCTGCTGGGAAGGAGTTAAAGAAGGAGTATTGATCGGCGGATAGGGATGTTCGGACTGAAGAGTCGACATGTGAACTGGGCCGGGGGAGTAAACGCCCCTGTCGATCTACTCTCAGGAGGCCCCTTATGCAACTACAGTTCATAGGTTGCAGATGCCGGGGGTAAGAAGGGCTTCGTCCCAATTCGATATGCTCCAAGTTCAATAGGTAGGTGAGCAGCAGATCATTCCTTCCACCAGAAAGATTTCCCAAGTTGATAATGTAATTAAGCCGAAGGAAAGAGGCTCGAATAGAGCGAGCAGTAAGGGGCTTGCTTGGCAAGAATGACGGTTATAGAGGAATCAAACTATGTTTCCACAGATTTCACTTTTCGGCCAACATGTTCTTTTGAAGATGAAGAGGACAAATTGGACGCCATTCAACTGGAAGATTGAAAGTCTACTCCTGCAAAGTTAGACGACTAATCAGGTAGTGCCCTTGCTTGTAGTACTTGCTGGTTTAACAGACAAAGAGTGGTGGGGCTGGTGGAGCGTTGTTTAGCCTCCTTCTTTTATTTCTTAGGTGTACTCCACTTTAGGATTCTCCTTCTTGGTTGGAATTCTTACGACGGTCGTCTTTCAGAGGCTCTCTGACGCTGTCTACCTTACTTAACCTAACCTATTTCTTTTGAGTTCAACTCATATATATATAAGGAGCCAATCGCTTGTCGGTAAGAGAATGATTTTTTTCTTGTTCTCTTACTATCTATAGATACTACTCGACCCATATAGGAGCCATAAGCGGGATAAGGGGCTTAACTTGAAATGGTTCTTCTTGAAACTGCTCATTTCTATTCAAGATATTCCATTTTTCATTGCTTGCCTCTGAAATTAGCTAATTCTCTATAGATTAGGTTCGTCTCTTGCCTTTTTCTATTCCATTGGTGGAAAGACCATCAAACTGTAAATTGTCACTTACAGACTGAGCGCTCTACATCCTATGTCGTGTTATTCAATCTGCAACT